ACTTAGGGAAAAACAGACAATGGATCTAAGCATTCCCTCAAACCCCAGGAAACCCAGCTATACAAAGGTAGTTTTACAGTAAGTCACTTGCTCACTAAAACCAGATCCAGACATGATAGCAAGGGGCTTTCTGGACAAGACTCCAATTTGGGAAGGCTGATCTAGACTTGAGATTAAGCTGCTCAGTTTCTCCACGAGAAGATTCACTTGCCTTCATTCCCACCTTTCAAGACTGAAAGAGGACTTATCATTCAAACTTGGGGCCCTTCTTTTTTTTTGAGATAGAGTCTCACTCTATTACCTGGGTTGGAGAGCAGTGGGGAGATCTTGGCTTACCGCAACCTCCACTTCCCGGATTCAAGTGATCCTCCTGCCTCAGCCGCCCGACTAGCTGGGACTACAGGTGTGCACCATCATACCCAGCTAATTTTTTTGTGTGTTTTTAGTAGAGACAGGGTTTCACTATGTTGACAGGGCTGGTCTTGAACTCCTGGCCTCAGATGATTCTCCCACCTTGGCCTCCCAAACTATTCATATTACGGGTGTGTGCCACCACACCTGGCCTCAAACTAGAACCTCTTCTATGGCATCAGAATCAGTTGAAATTGGTCAAAATATGAGAGAGAACACAACACAGGAGGAAATGGTTAGGGCCGGTTCTGTGTTGAGTACAAATTGCCTTGCGAAATAAAAAATATACATGTAATAGAATACCAAGAAACTACCAGATGCTAAGTAGGAAAACATATTTAATAAAAATTAAAAAATTCAGGCCGGGCGCGGTGGCTCAAGTCTGTAATCCCAGCACTTTGGGAGGCCGAGGCGGGTGGATCACGAGGTCAAGAGATCGAGACCATCCTGGTCAACATGGTGAAACCCCGTCTCTACTAAAAATACAAAAAAAAAATTAGCTGGGCATGGTGGTGCGTGCCTGTAATCCCAGCTACTCAGGAGGCTGAGGCAGGAGAATTGCCTGAACCCAGGAGGCGGAGGTTGCAGTGAGCCGAGATTGCGCCATTGCACTCCAGCCTGGGTAACATGAGTGAAACTCCGTCTCAAAAAAAAATAAGGCCGGGCGCGGTGGCTCAAGCCTGTAATCCCAGCACTCTGGGAGGCCGAGGCGGGTGGATCACGAGGTCAACAAATCGAGACCATCCTCGTCAACATGGTGAAACCCCGTCTCTACTAAAACTACAAAAAATGAGCTAGGCATGGTGGCGCGTGCCTGTTATCCCAGCTACACAGAAGGCTGAGGCAGGAGAATTGCCTGAACCCAGGAGGCGGAGGTTGCGGTGAGCCGAGATCGCGCCATTGCACTCCAGCCTGGGTAACAAGAGCGAAACTCTGTCTCAAAAAAAAAAAAATAAAATAAAATAAATAAAAAAATTCAGATATACTGTCCACAGAAAATTAAGATAAAAATAGAATGTATAATATCACTGGATCATTAAAAAGACAGACAAGCATTGAGACAGGCTATAGGACATCAATACATTGAGAAACTCTGGTAATTTATTTGTTCTGTTACACTACAACATGATCATATGTTACCATTACTTTCCTTTTAGTAGTTATCTTGATATTCTTTTGAATATATTTCATAATCATTTTAACATTGTTCATACAATACCTTAAAAAATACATGTGTACACACACAAACACACTCACACACAAATGTGTGTATTAAAAGGTGGGTTTATTTTGCTCTGGCTCTCTCTCTCTTTTTTTTTTAAAGGGGCAGGGGTCTTGCTGTGTCACCCAAGCTGGAGTACAGTGGTGTGATCATAGCTCACTGCAAACTCAAGCTTCTGGGTTCAAGTAATCCTACTGCCTCAGGCTCCTGAGTAGCTGGGACTAAAGGTGTGCACCATCATGTCTGGCTAATTTTTAAAATTTTTTTAGAGACAGGTTCTTACTATGTTACCTAGGTTGTTCTCAAAGTCCTGGGCTCAAGAGATCCTCCCTCCTAGGCCTCCCAAAGCATTGGGATTACAGGCATGAGCTACCATGCCTGGCCCAGTCTCACTTTTTATCTAACATCACTTGAAGAAAAAATTAGACAGTAAAAGATTGCAAGAATACATTCACTAACTTCCATATAGATTCCATGGGCTTAGTTACAAGGATGACCAGAATCTAATCAATGCCACCTCCACATGAATTCCCAAGACATATCACCTGAATCTCTCTAGCGGTTTTCACTATACACTGACTTACCCTTTCCTATTTACAATTTATGACCCTTGCTTGATTAGTAGCATTTTAAAGTTGTGACTAGCCATAGCCAGAGCAATCAGACAAGAGAAAAAAATAAAGTGCATCCACTTGATAAAGAGGAAGTCAAGCTTGCTATTCACCGATAATATAATCATATAACTAGAAAACCGTAAAGACTCATCCAAAAAGCCCCTAGATCTGATAAATTCAGTAAAGTTTCAAGATACAAAATTAATGCACACAAATCAGTAGCACTGCTATACACCAGCATCAATCAGGCTGAGAATCAAATCAAGAACTCAAACCCTTTTACTATAGCTGCAAAAACAATAAAACACTTAGGAATACACCTAATCAAGGAGGTGAAAGATCTCTATAAGGAAAACGACAAAACACTGCTGAAAGAAACATAGATGACACAAACAGATGAAAGCACAACCCATGTTCATGGATGGATAGAATCAGTATTGCAAAAATGACCATACTGCCAAAACTGATCTATAAATTCAATGCAATTCCCATCAAAATACCATCATCATTCTTCACAGAACTAGAAAAAACAATCCTAAAATGCATATGGAACAAAAAAAAGAGCCAGCATAGCCAAAGCGAGACTAAGCAAAAAGAAAAAATATAAAGGCAAAACATTACTTGACTTCAAACTATACTACAGGGCTATAGCTACCAAAACAGAATGGTACTAGTATAAAAACAGGCATGTGGACCAATGGAACAGAATAGAGAACTTAGAAATAAAGAAAAATACTTATAGCCAACTGATCTTCAACAAAGTAAACAAAAGCATAGTAGGGAAAGAACTATTCAACAAATGGTGCTGGTATAATTAGCAAGCCACGTGTAGAAAATGAAACTGGAGCGTCATCTCTCACCTTATAAAAAATCAATTCAAGATGGATCAAAGACTTAAATCTAAGACCTGAAACCATAAAAATTCTAGAAGATAACATTGGAAAAACTCTTCTAGACATTGGCTTAGGCAAAGAGTTCATGACCAAGAACCCAAAAGCAAATGCAACACAAGCAAAGATAAACAGATAGGACTTAATTAAACTAAAAAGCTTCTGCACAGCAAAAGAATCATCAGAGTAAACAGGCAACCCCCAGAGTAGTAAAAAAATATTCACAAACTATACATTGTATGTAAGCATACAATTCTCTTCAATAAACAATATTAGATAAGAATCTAACAACAGCCTAAATCCTGTTCTTCAGTACAACATGGTGATTTCTATGCCGCTTCCTAACTTTTACTATCTCATGTTTCAGCTGATATCTATTCTGAGTATCTATTGTGTGAACAGTGTTTCCAATACGCTGGGTACAATATATCTAAATTTTATACAGGTACTTGGAAGCACTTGGACATCACAGATTATTTCTACATTCTGTGAAATGAAACGGAATCGTTTTATTTACTTTTATTATATATATATAATATATATATATATTATATATATAATTTTTTTTTTAGATGGAGTCTCACTCTATTGCCCAGAACTACTGTTTGATCCAGCAATCCCACTAATGGGTATCTACCCAGAGGAAAAGAAATCACTATAAAATTTTTTTTTAATGATAAGAGACGGGGGGTCTCACCATGTTGGCCCGGCTGGTCTCGAACTCCTGGCATCAAGTGATCTGCCAGCCTCAGCCTCCCAAAGTGCTGAGATTTCAAGCGTGAGCCACCGCACCCAGCCAGAAGTCATTGTATGGAAAAAGTCCCAAAATGCTGGGATTACAGGCATAAGCCACCACGGCCAGCCAAATATAGCAATGTTAATGAGATTCAGTTCAATGGCTCCCAACATCTACTAGAAATAAAGTAGATTGTTATTAGGACATTCAGACATATTTCAGACGAAGGAAAGCATGCCCTAAAACTGGTAATCTTATGAAAGAAAAAAAGCCAAGTAGCATAAACCCTGATTTTTAGATGTGAAAGAATTTTTTTCCTCCTCATCAGAGTCCTTTTGAGGACCACCAGGACCAGGGAGGGAGAAGAGAATCATGAGTTATCAGGCTTTCCTTGAAGCACGGAAAGCCTGGATACACAATACCCTCCACACCTTCCCTGTTCACACACTTGAACCCATGGAGGTAGCAGGGAGGCTGAAATCTGGGTATGAGTTCACAGCAGGTTCCTGGGGCCAGAATTCTGGGAAGGACGAGGCTCTGAGACAAGTAGCTCACTCTCAGAGCTCACTAGGAAATAACCTCCCAGGCGTTTCCAAACTCACAGCAAGTCAGTGCCTTCTTGCTGGAAAATTTCATTTAGAATTAGAATCCAACTTCCCTCTTGCAGACATTTTTTGTGTTTGTCAGCCTCAAGCGGCTATGAGAGAGGGGAGGGGAAGCAGCCGGGAAGCTACAGCCACGACTCAAAGTGCCACCGCATCAACGCACCTCATATCCCCGTCACTCAAGCACAGCCACTCACCTGTCACAGCCTCACACCCGCATCCACTGTCAAGGAGGCACATCCCAGCCTCTCATACGCAGTTTCTCTCACACACTCTTAAACATTCCCCATCTGACATATACAACATTCTCTCACGAACGCACTCAAAACCCTCTGCCGCTCATGCACCCACAGGCCTGAGATTCCGATAACAACTGGTCATCCACACAACAGGCTTCCACGGTTTAAGGGCTTCCTCCACCAAACCGGACGATGCAGGTTGAGTTCCAATTTAACTTGATTTCCCAGAGCCCCGCCTGCCAGTACCTTGTGCCTATTATATCCTGAAATGAGTTCAACTCACCTTGCAAAAGAACCACGCGAAAACGGAAGGGAAGCCATAGACTCGGTGTTCCCGCTGCCCTCTGGGAAATGTCGTTCAAGACTAAAGATCCATGACCGCGGTGGTTTGTGGTAATAGTGGCTCAGAACCCCAAATCCCGATTAGATCGCTGGCACCGCCGGACGCTGGCTCCCGGAGGTTTCAAGAGTTCCCTCTACTAGGAGTGCGCAGACGCAGAGACTAGCGCTGAAGAAGATAGCTGAGGCAAAGGCGTGTCCGACTTGGCTTTGGAGTCCTGAGGGTTTCAGTGCACCCAGAAGGCTGAGAAGAGGAATCTGAACTCGGGGCTGCCCGAAGCTTCGGGCTGTGCATGTAGAGCCGGTCGGGGAGGGTCAAGGTGTGGCCGCGAGGGCCAGCGTGGGGGACCGGGTGTGAGCTCCGAAGGGCGGGGACTCTGCTCTGTGTCCCCTGAGGAGGTCCAGCCTTGCTATAAGGTATGAGAACAGTAGCTTTCTAAAACTGGAAAAATTCAATATACGCAAATCTATAAACATAATTCACCATATAAACAGAACCAAAGGCAAAAACCACATGATTATCTCAATTGATGCAGAGAAGGCCTTTGACAAAATTCAACAGCCCTTTATGCTAAAAACCCTCAATAAGCTAGGTATTGACGGAACGTACCTCAAAATAATAAAAGCTATTTACGACAAACCAACAGCCAATATCATACTGAATGGGCAAAAACTGGAAGCATTCCCCTTGAAATCTGGCACTAGACAAGGATGCCCTCTCTCACCACTCCTATTCAATATAGTACTAGAAGCTCCAGCCAGAGCAATCAGGCAAGAAAAAGAAATAAAGGGTATTCAAATAGGAAAGGAGGAAGTCAAATTGTCTCTATTTGCAGACAACATGATTGTATATCTAGAAGACCCCATCGTCTCAGCCCCAAATGTCCTGAAACTGATAAGCAACTTCAGCAAAGTCTCAGGATACAAAATCAATGTGCAAAAATCACATGCATTCCTATACACCAATAACAGACTTAAAGAAAGCCAAATCAAGAACGAACTTCCATTCACAATTGCTACAAACAGAATAAAATACCTAGGAATACAACTAACAAGGAATGTAAAGGACCTCTTCAAGGAGAACTACAAGCCACTGCTCAACGAAATAAGAGAGGACACAAACACATGGAGAAACATTCCATGTTCATGCTTATGAAGAATCAATATCGTGAAAATGGCCATACTGCCCAAAGTAATTTACTTGGGCAATGCTATCCCCATCAAGCTACCAATGACCTTCTTCACAGAACTGGAAAAAACCACCTTAAACTTCACATGGAACCAAAAGAGAGCCCGCATAGCCAAGTCAATTCTAAGCAAAAAGAACAAAGTGGAGGCATCACACTACTGGACTTCAAACTATACTACAAGGCTACAGTAATCAAAACAGCATGGTACTGGTACCAAAACAGAGATATAGACCAATGGAACAGAACAGAGGTCTCGGACGCAACACAACATATCTACAACTATCCGATCTTTGACAAACCTGACAAAAACAAGCAATGGGGAAAGGATTCCCTGTTTAATAAATGGTGTTGGGAAAACTGGCCAGCAATGTACAGAAAGCAGAAACTGGACCCCTTCCTGACACCTTACACTAAAATTAACTCCAGATGGATTAAAGACTTAAACATAAGACCTAACACCATAAAAACCCTAGAAGAAAATCTAGGCAAAACCATTCAGGACATAGGTGGAGGCAAGGACTTCATGACCAAAACACCAAAAGCATTGACAACAAAAGCCAAAATAGACAAATGGGACCTAATCAAACTCCACAGCTTCTGCACAGCAAAAGAAACAGTCATTAGAGTGAATCGGCAACCAACAGAATGGGAAAGAATTTTTGCAGTTTACTCATCTGACAAAGGGCTGATATCCAGAATTTACAAAGAACTAAAACAGATCTACAAGAAAAAAAACAAACAAGGCCATTCAAAAGTGGGCAAAGGATATGAACAGATGCTTTACAAAAGAAGACATACACGAGGCCAACAAACATATGAAAAAATGCTCCTCATCACTGGTCATCAGAGAAATGCAAATCAAAACAACATTGAGATACCATCTCACGCCAGTTAGAATGGCGATCATTAAAAAATCTGGAGACAAAAGTTGCTGGAGAGGATGTGGAGAAATAGGAACACTTTTACACTGTTGGTGGGAGTATAAATTAGTTCAACCATTGTGGAAGACAGTGTGGCAATTCCTCAAGGACCTAGAAACAGAAATTCCATTTGACCCAGCAATCCCATTACTGGGTATATATCCAAAGGATTATAAATCGTTCTACTATAAGGACACATGCACACAAATGTTCATTGCAGCACTGTTTACAATAGCAAAGACCTGGAACCAACCCAAATGCCCATCGATGATAGACTGGACAGGGAAAATGTGGCATATATACACCATGGAATATTATGCAGCCATCAAAAATGATGAGTTTGTGTCCTTTGTAGGGACATGGATGAACCTGGAAACCATCATTCTCAGCAAACTGACAGAAGAGCAGAAGATCAAACACCGCATGTTCTCACTCATAGGTGGGTGTTGAACAATGAGAACACATGGACACAGGGAGGGGAGCACTACACAGTGGGGTCAGCTGGGGGGAAATAGGGAGGGACGGTGGAGGTTGGGGAGCTGGGGAGAGATAGCAAGGGGAGAGATGCCAGATGTACGTGATGGGGAGGAAGGCAGCAAATCACACTGCCACGTGTGTACCTATGCAACAATCTTGCATGTTCTTCACATGTACCCCAAAACCTAAAAAGCAATAAAATAAATAAATGCGGAAAAAAAAATAAAATAAAACTAGAAAAATAATAATTGTATATTTTAGATATTTATGGAGTACAATATGCTGTTTTGATCCTTGTTTACAATGTGGGATGATTAAATCAAGCTAATTATATCTATCCCCTCACTTTTTTGTGGTAAAAAAAAACTTAAAATCTACTCTTTTAGCAATTTTGAAATATATAACACGTTATTTATGTAGTTGCTATTTTGTGCAATTACTAAAGTTTATTCCTCCTAACTGAAATTTTGTACTCTTTCAGTTAACAGCTCCCTTTTCCCCATTTTCCAGTCTCTGGTGAACACCATTCTGTCTCTTAAGAGTCAGGCTTTTTTAGATTCCACAAATACTACTCATTTGGTATTTATCTTTCTGTTTCTGACTTCTCTTACTTAGCCTAATGTCCTTCTGGTTTATCCGTGTTGTCACAAATGAATTTTCCCCTCTTTATTTTTATTATTTATTTATTTACTTGTTTATTTATTTTTTTAGACGGAGTTTCCCTCTTGTCGCCCAGGCTGGATTGCAGTGGCAAAATCTCAGCTCACTGCAACTTCTGCCTCCCCGGTTCAAACTACTGTCAAGCCTCAGCCTTCCTAGCAGCTAGGATTACAGGATAGGACACCATGTCGGCTAATTTGGTATTTTTAGTAGAGAAGGGGTTTCACCATGTTGGTCTGACTGGTCTCAAACATCTGACCTCAGGTGACCTGCCTGCCTCAGCCTCCCAACGTGCAGGGATTACAGGAATGGGCCATCACACCAAGCCAATTTTCCTCTTTTTAAAGAGTGAATAGTATTCCTTTATGTATGCATATACATATCACATTTTCTTTATCCATTCATCCAATGCTGGACACCTAGGTTGCTTCCATATGTTAGCTACTATGAATAATGCTGCAGTGAATATGGTAGTGCAGTTATCTCTTCAGCATGCTGATTTCAGTTCCTTTAGCTATACACCTACAGGTGGGATTGCTGGGACATATAGTTGACATTTTAGTGTCTGATGAATCTCCATATTATTTTCCATAATGGCTCTATTAATTTACTTTGGGAAATGTAATTACTTTTGATGCTATTGGGAATGGACTGCTTTCCCAACAAAATAAATTGTGTTAGGTACATGGACCAATAGTGTACAGGAGTGAAGTTATATTTACTTAATTCTTTACATTACGTTATAGTCAAAACAGACTGCCTAATTAAGTGTAAAAATTATCCAGAGGCTGGGTGCGGTGGCTCACACCTGTAATTCCAGCACTTTGGGAGATGGAGGTGGGCAGATCACAAGGTCAGGAGTTCAAGACCAGCCTGGCCAATATGGTGAAACCCTGTCTCTACTAATGTAATATCTATTTGAGACTATATCTATTAGAATAGATATTAGAATATAATATCTATTAGTATAGATATCTATTAGTATAATATCTATTAGTATAGATATTATATTACTAGTATAAATATCTCTTTGAGATTGTGCTTTCAGTTTCCCATAGTGTCTATGTAGATGTGGAATTGCTGGATACATGGTAATTCTATTTTTAATTTTTTTTTTTTTTGAG